ATTATTATTTCAGTGGCCCTAATTCTCTTCTGTATATTTATTAGTAGAAAGGTTATTGCTTATATTTGTTTTCGATTCTGACTTGTAAGAATGAAATTTGGAATGTTATTCCCTGAAGGAATGCTGTTATTGATAATAATGGGAAAAATGGAGACAGGTTTGATTACATGTTACTACGGACTGCCATACCAGGGAACCAGATTCGTAGCCTATCTGTCAGACTGCTTGTCTTTTTAACTTTGAACCGGAAACCAGATCAGATAAAGTCCGTACAGTTCATTCAGTTCTGTCTCAAGTGTGCGTCACTTCACGTGTTTTACTTGCCTTGGGCACAGAAAATTAAGCCACGCATGATGACGTCTTTACAACCTAGACAGTTCATTGGTCGAGAAACCTGTGACGACAAAGTATTGGCCAATACTCTAARAGCTGAAATCCCGTGTTGTATCGCGAGATATCCGGTTAGATAAATCCTCTACGCGGCTTGACAATCGGCCATTTCGTTGGTGCAGGCCGTCAGCTGTAAAGGGCAGTGGGGATATAACGTGTATACTGGTAACCTGAAAGGCACATCTGAAACATCGCAACATGAGTGAGCAAGCTATTTCATTCGCTAAGGACTTCTTGGCTGGCGGAATCTCCGCTGCCATCTCCAAAACAGCCGTCGCCCCGATTGAGAGAGTGAAGCTTCTCCTTCAGGTAATAAAAAAAGAAACTCTTCCGGAAAGCTGGTTGCGTTAGCCGGGTAGCTCGTACAATCCCGCCAGAGTACACGCTGTCCCGACACATCCACTGGCTTGTCATGGTTTTAGATCTTAACCTGAAGCGTTTTGTCAGTGAAACATTAGATAATGTAGCTGAGTGATGGGCTCATAAATCTGAGGTCATCACATAAAGTGAAATGACCTACAGGAGGAGCCCGGCTGCTAAACTGCTAGCTTACGCGTTAACCTTAGCCGGCGCAGCTAACAAAGGACAAACTTGAAGTGACGTGGGTACACTCTGTACAAAGTCGTTACTACAGCTTTAGCATTTTATACAACTCGTTTAATTGTACTACATTTGTAGCGTAACTTTATTTTTGATAGATTATCACTTAGCAGTCGACGTAATCTTCAGGGTGGCTAATGAATAGCGCCTAAACTTAGAACTAAAGGCCCGGACTGAGCTAGCCGGGTCGACAAGTTTTACATCCGTTTTTGTCTAGGTTCCTCAATGAATGAAAGACTGGGTTAAAACTTACATCTTAAATCACAGATTTTTATTATTCAACTAAATTAAACTACTGTTCATTATTTTAAATGGATTAAATGAAGATGTCGATTGTTCTTCTTGTCCTTTCAATGGTTGCCGGCACTTTATTAGTTCTGATTAATAAACATTGTCATCATTAATTTTCTACAACTTTTACACAATACAAGGTCACAACAAGGAGATCCTGTGATTGKCATGTGCTCAGCAGTTGATTGGCTGTTCTGTTCTAAGCTTTTTTTTTTCCTCCCTTTTATTAAWTACAGGTCCAGCATGCCAGCAAACAGATCACAGCAGACAAGCAGTATAAAGGAATCATCGACTGCGTTGTCCGTATCCCCAAGGAGCAGGGAGTCCTTTCCTTCTGGAGAGGTAACCTTGCCAATGTCATCAGATACTTCCCCACCCAGGCCCTCAACTTCGCCTTCAAAGACAAGTACAAGAAGGTCTTCCTTGATGGTGTGGACAAGCGCGCCCAGTTCTGGAGGTACTTTGCCGGTAACCTGGCCTCCGGCGGCGCTGCTGGAGCCACCTCGCTCTGTTTCGTGTACCCCCTCGACTTCGCCCGTACCCGTCTGGCTGCTGACGTAGGAAAGGGAGGACATGAAAGAGAATTCAAAGGTCTGGGTGACTGCCTGGTGAAAATCTTCAGGTCTGACGGTCTTCGGGGGCTGTACCAGGGCTTCAATGTGTCTGTGCAGGGCATCATCATCTATAGGGCTGCGTACTTCGGCATCTATGACACAGCTAAGAGTATGTTGATTTCACACTGATAAATGTGCATTTGGTGGGTTATGTCTTTAATTTCTGGATGCTAAGTTTTTTTATTTTCTTTCGTTTGTCTACTCAGGTATGCTTCCAGACCCTAAGAACACCCATATATTGATAAGCTGGATGATTGCACAGACTGTAACAGCTGTCGCTGGCCTGACCTCCTACCCCTTCGATACTGTCCGTAGACGCATGATGATGCAGTCCGGACGCAAAGGAGGTGAGTATAATGGGAACGTTTGCAGTCTTGACTGTTAATTTTTCTAGCTTAATCTAATTTAATTCTTCCCTCTTTCAGCTGACATCATGTACAGTGGGACCATTGACTGCTGGCGCAAGATTGCACGTGATGAGGGCGGCAAGGCTTTCTTCAAGGGAGCGTGGTCCAACGTGCTCAGAGGCATGGGCGGTGCMTTTGTGCTGGTGTTGTACGACGAGATGAAGAAGTACATGTAATCCTTCATGTTGTCACACCACTGCTCAATTTGGCTAAATGTGTTAACTTTTCATTTCCATGGACTTTGCATTCTGCCTTATTTATGGGAACAAATTTGGCCTCTCACCAGTTGCTGTGAGAGATGGCTGTACGTTGTGCATCTTTGATTTTAAAAAAAACGTCCTGCGCCCTCTTTACCAATGTCATTCCTGATAACGAAGTATGAATACCTCCTTGTGTCATTCGCTAGGTTTCTGTGGTCCCAACTTAAAATAAATTTATTCTGGGGAACAAACTTAACCATTGATGTCAACTGTCTTGTCCACTGTCATTGCATGAGGCGAACACTCACTGGATGAAGAATTGCAGAGTGGATTACACCCAACGGCTATATTTACTCACACTTATCTCCTTGAGCCTTTCTGATTTGACCATGATCACTTGTGGGATTGTAGAGTGGAGCACCTTAAATTCATGCTCTTTTTAAACCCTGTATACCACCTTAGAGAGCACTAAATGTATTGAAACTTTAGTTTTATCTTATAATGGTGTTTACAGCACATCCAAATCACTCAAAACTGCACTTTCATTTTCAAATGATAAATAAATGCTGACTTGTGCAAGATTTGCTAAACCACTTCAGAAATGTGCTAAGCCAATGGAATTTGGCAATCACCTTTAGACTTTGTCAGACATGTTTCAACAATAAAGCAGGTGTTGGCAGTAATTGTTGGTTTATTAGTCATCAATGCACATCAGTCCTACTTGAAGAAAACACTAGATTTTATAGGAATGCTGCTGCTAAAGATCTGTATTAAATTCACATAAATTTGGTCATTCACATCACACTTATTTCTGATCATGGTTTTAGCCAAATGACACTAAGAAAGTGAAACGGAAATGTACAAAGCTAAAAAAAAAATCTGTCATGGATGTTCAAATGCTTTGTCATTTTATGATCAGTAGAGGGCGCCAGTAGCAAGCTACAAACTTGATGCAGATAAAATGTGAGACAAAAGTCCTACAGATCAATAAGCTAAAGGTAAATAACTGCAACACTGCATATAAGTAGATGTTTGTAGAATCCTACATTAGTAAATAATACAATACTTCACAATCTCTGTTGTGTTTAAACAGTTTTGCCCACATGAGGCAATCTTAATTTGTTTTCTTAAATGCAATAAATCAATTGACTTAACAGTYATTTAGCTATTACTGGTGATTATAAAACTTGACATTACCTTTGGAGTGAGTAAGCTGCCAATTTGAGTTAAATTAAAAAAACATTATTGCACAGACAGATATTTAGTGATCAGATAACAGGAAGTAAGATGCCATAGTTATCTTTATAGCCCGAGTAGCAAATGTTCACATTACCTGCTCTTCATTCATATTTAGTGCTTTATAAAACACTGATTAGTTTAGTCCTGTGGTGGATTTTGACCTGCTGAGGTTCCTGATCAGGCCTTCCAGCTGTAATGAGTCTGAAGATCAAGCTCCCAGATGCCGTGGAGCAACTTTTTAAAACAAGCTGTTGGCTGGACTGAGATCCAAAACGACTTCCTTATTCAAGATAAATCACTGAACAAAGTCATTCATACAGGTCTCAGAGGTAATCTGTTTGTGTGTCTGTATGGTCACACTGGGTTTGAATGGATTTGTTTATTGGGTAAAAAGAAATTTGGTCTGCTGTGATTTATGCATACATGTTAGTGTGTGTATGCATGTACAGTGTGTGTGTGTGCGCATACTTGATTTTGATTTTTTTTAGGACTTTCTCGTATACACACCTACAAATTGGTAATGTTTGGGTGAAACAGAATGAGTGGAAGTCTGTCATAATAAGGACAGAAATACAAACTTGTATGTATGTATGTATGTATGCATGTATATGTATGCATGTATATGTATGCATGTATATGTATGCATGTATATGTATGCATGTATA